GGTATAGAACTATGGTTGGACGACTGGAATCTCTTGCGACTCACGAAGAAGACTGCCCCAAGCGTCAATCTCAGCATTCCGAGGGATATTGAAACTAAAACACCGCAAGGCCTGATGAAAATTCAGAATGTCACTCGAGAGGTTGCTCAGGTTGATGCTTCGTGGATGCGTGTCATCGAGTGGAACCCTAATGCCAGCATCTTTCGGGAGGGACTCAGAGATACTACGGGTTCTTTGCGTACCTTCTTCTCCAAGCTCACAGGCCAGAGTGCCCCCGAAAAGCCAGCGAGACCCGAACAACAGGATAATTCCACTGACTCCGGAGAGATGACCAAGACCTTAACCGCCTCGGTCTTCCTACATATAAACACCGCCAGCCTCCAAGCTTCCGTCAGCCAGTCTTTAAGTAGCGAACTCGAACGAGCTACGCGAAAACCTCCCCCTAAGCGATCCACCATCGCCATTCTGACCCCCTCATACGATACTACCTTAGCTTCTGGTGCTTCTGGCCTACAGTCAGAGGTCCTCTCCTCCATTCTACCTTCCAAGGGTGGCAGGGTCTTCATAGGTTTTCCAACCCATCAAACAACGGGTCTCAATGCCCATATCTCTGCTCCTTCCGTCATTCCTACAGTGGAGCGCGAAAGTATTGATCTCAATACTCGCTACATTAGCAAGTGGAATTTGGAGATGTTGAGGGCCGCCGGAATTGTTTGCCGGATCGCCTGGACTGCCGAAATGGCGTCCATCAAAGCTAGGATATCATCTGGGAAGGAGTCCTCGAAATCCATGAAGGTACGGAAGGATGATATAGCAGGTGTTCTTCCAGAAGCCATCCACACTGCAAAGCAGTTCGTATTCCGTGAATCAACGCCATCATCACTTCTTGGGCAAACCATCGAAGACGCATTCTGGACGTGTAACAAGAGTGCATCCATTGAGGTTCTTTCAACATGCGGTGTTATCCAGAGCCATCAGGTACGCCTTGCCCCGAAGGATCTCAGCTTCATGGATTCGATACCAGTCCTGCCTGATGAGTTCTATTCGGGTGCGAGGGAGTTCGTCAAGAAACTGACGGATTTCGGTTTGGTTACCGATATTACGGTCTCCGACATCAAACAGGAACTTGAAATCACCACACTACGGTCCAGCCAGGCTGCTGAATTCCTTCCTTGGTTAGGTCAAAGGGCTGCCTCGGGCCAGCTTGATCTATACTCCATCCAAAGCTTGCTGAGTGTAGCAGTGGCAAATGAAGAGGACGAGAGCAGCCCCCAGAATAGATTGATTGTTTTCGGAAGCATCGACAGTTATCTAAGCCCTCAGAAGATACCCGTCAATTTGCCTGTTCCCCCCACTGTGGCGCCTTTCAAATTTACTAAGTCTCTAGGGAAGCAGGAGTTGGAGGCTTTAGGCTGGACGGAGCTTCAGATAGTTCCGTGGGTGCGTTGGCTAGTCTGCAATTCTGCTAACCGAAATCTCCTGCCCTTGGATCAGGATATCACGAAGAGTCCCTCGTTCTCTGCTCAGGTCTTGCCGGTTCTTTCGAAGCAATGGGAGTATCTAAGCCAGACAGCGAAACAATCAGTGATCACTCAGTTACAAGCACATACTGTGATACCGACTAAACTAGGGATGAAGATGCCTCCCGAGACCTATTTCTCTTCTGTCCGCTTGTTTGATGACCTTCCCGTCATACACGGCCTAAATGGAGTTAAAGAGAAATTTCTGGCAGCGCTTGGCGTTCGTAAGACTGTCGAACTCGGTGTCATCTTCGAGCGTCTTCTCGATACCACGGAAGCACCCGATGGTCCTAACAATAACCAGAGGAAATGGAGTCACGTCGACTTGATACGATATCTAGCTTCCGTGCGCGATGATATTCCTGCGAATGATATCAAACGACTCAAAAATACCAGCTTATGCACTGCCGAACACAGTGACGGCAGTGGAAATGGTGATCTTAAAGCAGCGAATCGCAAGCGCTATAAGATATTTGAGTTGTTCGAACCGAAGGACTCGCTCAGGGCACTGGGTTTGCCTATCATTGAATGGCCAGGTCGGTATCAGCCCAGTAGCAACGAAGGAAGGTTTCTGTCAATGTTGGGACTCAGAAGTTTCCCGTCAGCGTCTGAGCTTATCCAAATCATGGCTAGGGCAGCCGCGGATGGTAATTGGGTTCTCCATACAAAAGCGATGTCATACTACATCGCCGAGTTTCATACGAGTGGCTATGCGATGTTCGACTGCGGTACAGTGGCTGTTCCGTTCTTGCCCGTCGAAGGATCGCAGGGTTTGACTGTTCCGAGTAAGTGCTTCACTGATGATGGTGCCACCTTGTTTGGGTTCGCAATTCTTCGCACGGATCTGCATCCACATGCTTCCAAGTTTGGGGTTAAACAACATCCCGCACTGAGCGAATGCATTGATTGCCTCATGCGTCAGCCACCGTCCACGAAGCGTGACGCAAGGGTCGTATTCAAGTATCTAGCCGGGCGGGTGTCAGAACTGAGTGGGCGGGATATAGATCGTGTTGGCGGTGCGCAGGTAGTCCCCGTCTCGAATACGCAGGATGAGATGGAAAAGAAAGTTGTGCGTCGTGTAGCACCCAGACTTTGTTATCTTGGTGACGGTGAGGATTACAAAGACATTTTCGATTTCGTCGACTTTGGTCAAGAGGCGAACCTTTTTCTCATGGCCGTCGGATCCAAACGTGAGCCCACTAAGGTGGAGATTGCACGCATGCTTGTAAAAGAACCAGCAAGGATATCAGCCTCTTTCCAAAGTGCTGACAAATATCTTAAACTGCTGAGGACACTTGCCGAGCATGTCTCAACCTTGAAGAAGGACCGCGAACTGTTTCAGGAAATGAAGAGGTCGGCCTTCCTGCTCGCAAGCAGGGATATCACTTCCCTGGCACAGGAGCAAGCTGCCAAGGATGATCACCTGTCTGACGATGAGGAGGAAGATCAAAGCATTAAGGAATGGACTTTGACTGTTGCGAAGGACGCAGTCGTGGTGGATGATTTCCAGAGCTTCAATCTTTTCAAGGAGCATATACTCGCAGCGCCTCAGGAAGAAATGCTAGAGAACTTCTATCAGTCTCTGGGGGCTCAACCGCTGAGCAGCCTTGTCGAAGAGCGTGCTCACTGGGGCGCTGTAGCTGCTGACCAACGTCCAGCCGCCAAGTTGCAAAAGCTGATCAGTGAACGCTCGCGGCTGTTCTTACATGACCAGTCTCCTGATCTGATCCGGCATGATGTGCGGTGGCTAGAGAAGCATTTGCAAGTGCAGGTGGTGCATTCCATCTCCCTAACTCGCTCTCTCAAGGGTCGTCGGATATCCCACACGCAAAAACGAAGCGCAATCATCACTCAACAGGGAAGAGACTGGCTCTTGTGGATCTGCCCGGGCAAGTATGATCTTTACGAGATCAGCCAGGCTCTGGTCCACCTAATCCTTGTTCGGCCGAAGCTCCATTCAACCCTTACCTTGGAGATGCTGCTAAAGACTGATCTGCTGGAACTCAAGGCTCGCGGGTACAACGTGGAGCGTATCCTTAAACAAAAGGCACACGAAGCCAGGATGGCAGAGGACAGGCGGCAGAAGCAGTTGGAAGAAGAGCGTCAACGTCTGCAAGAGAGAGAAGCTGCGTGGGCCAAGGAACAAGCTCAGATACAAGCACAACCTCATCAAGTTCAAGACGAGCGAGAGCAGTTAATGCCGGGAGACTTCCCTGACTCGCCGTCGGGCAAGAACAGCACCCGTGACATCCAGCCGGACACACCTGACCAAACCCAAGATCGCCGACCACGCGGGTTCTTCGCCAACCTCTCCAAGCGGTTTGGGCTCGAGGGCAATCGATCGCCCTTCAATGCTGTCAACGGAGAGTCATCTCAGCCCTCCCGCTCTGAATCCTCAGAGACTGCCACCCCTCCCCCGCCTTACTCTGCTGAAGATCCTCAGCAGAAGACTCGCTCGGAAGCTCCTGTCACTGTCAATTCACCCCATCGACTTCAGTCGGAGCTGCTCTCCGCCATCCAGGCGTGTCGGCCCCATGGATCTTCTGATGTTTATAGCCGGCCTGAGACGAACCAGATCACCGAGAAGAAGTCCTACTGTGACGAAAAGCCCAGTCATGATCTAGAGTTTGTCGCGACACTTGCCTGTGGGATTCACGTATTGTTTGTGAAGAACCTCCCGGATCGCAGTCAATTCTTAGCCAAGAATAGCGTCGGCATTAATGTCTTTGCTTCGATGTTAATGGATTGTGCTGGGGTATTCTCGCTCCGGTCAGACATCCTCAGTATCTTCTATGATCCTGGGGGCAAAACGATCGCCTTTAACCGGGCGGGCAGTGTATTCTGCAATTACTTCTACTTCCAACAGCTTCACGAGAAGCAACTGCTTGCAAACCCGACTGCCGACCGAGCGGATGCACTTGTATACTGGTGGGTGATCCTATGCCACGAACTGGCCCATAACCTGGTGGGAGACCATAGCTCTGCCCACAGTTACTATACGTAAGTTTGCTCCCGCAATAGCCTCGTTTCTTTTAGTTGCTCTTGATAACATGGCTTACAATGTTTCCAGCGAAAGCTTTGTTGCGCAATATTTCCCCAAGATAACAGCCAAGCTCGCGAGCGCAGGTAGAGCTGCTCCAGAACCGAGTGGCTAGTCCAGCAACGTGTTCGGTTTTGGATAGGATTTATTGTATATCAATCTAATTACAGACGGCCAGGCGCCGACATGTACATATTACGAGACAGCTAGTCGCTCTAATCTCTCATCAAATCTCTCTCAGTGTGTACTCTGTAGTGTCCCAACCGTTCCATTCGGGCTATAGCCAGTGATGCAAACCGGACAAACACCGGTATTACCTCCGCGGAGAGATGCGCGGGCCTTCGATCTTCTTGATCTCTCCAGAGCTCCCAATTCAGCTGCGTCATCTCTACTGTAGCAATCTCTGCCGATTTTCAAAGCGAGAAACACTTTTCAGACGGCGATCTCATGGCGGGCACACCCGATGCCTCCATGGAGGAAATCCTCTGGCGGTCCCCGCCCCACGTCCAGATGATGGGAGGATACCTCCACTCCAACAACAGTACGAAATTCAGAACCCATTAACGACTAAAACGGCCTACTAATACTCTTAATGTGTGCGCAGTTCTTTTCTACTTTGCAGAGTCGCCATTCTTTGACCCAACATCCAACAACGCCTCACTTGCCATCCAAGCAAACTACAATGAAGCTTTCCGGCACTTTGTCGAGACGCGCGAGGCCTTCGAGGGCCGGTTAAAGACTATGCAGGGCTTGGAATTCGTGGTTTCATATGATCCCATCCAGGCAGCAGCACAACCTGATGGTCGATTTGCGCACGAGCCGTCAAACATTTGGGTGATTCGCAAGCAAAACCGGCGCAAGAGGACCGGCCTGGAAGATGAGGTGGTAGTTTTATCAACGTACTTTATCGTCGGAGACTGCATCTACATGGCCCCCTCGGTTGCGAGTGTTGTGGGGAATCGCATCGTACGTCAATCCTTTCCTGTGACTTTGCTTCCAAGACATTTTCTAGTGCTGATGCTAACTCCGACTTCTTGCGCAGCTGTCCGCAGTTACGTCTCTCACCAGCTTGCTAAAGACAGCATCTACACTACCTACCTTCACCCCGTCCCACGGCCATACCTACATGCCGCCTGCGCTCAAACAAGCCGATGCAAGTCAACCTGGCACGCAGTCGCAGCAGAGCAAGGAGAACACCCCATTACCGGACGCCGATGCAGCTGGCAAGGCCTCGCTCGTTGGCTCTTCACAGGTTGTCGGCACTGGTTCGAGCCTGCAAGACACACGAACACTCGCAGAGTCATTCAACCTGCTCCGAAGGTATGGGGAGGAGTTTATGGACGAGCATCCGTTGGTGGGAGAGCCGGGATCGTTCATCCTATCCCGTGTCAATGACACAGACCGAACATCAGCAGCGAAACCACCAGCCCCTGCCGCGAAGGTTGGAACGCCGCAGGTCCGGGTTGATACGCCAGGGAAGGTATCAGAGAAGGGGGCGACGCCATCGGGATCAGAGGAGAATAAGATGCGGAAGAAGAAAACTAAGGTTGGCAGTTGAAGTGGAAGGAAAGAATAATGATACCCTAATGATCATGAGAGCAGGATTCTCTCATCCCGATTCCTTTTAGACCTGGATAGCTAGATCTCCTAACCAATCTACAGGTGCAGCTGGCTATTGCCATCAGCTCCTTACTTTTTCCAGCTTATCTCTATAGACCTTTTTCTATAACCAAGCAAGGACAGCAAAGCAACCCCGCACGGCCACCCAATCCAATCCCAGTGACAATCAAGTATCTCTGACTCATATAACATCCTCATCGCAAACTCTCCTTTTACTCGCATTCTATTAAAATCCAGCTGAGATTTCCATCCCCATCATGACTACAACCGCCACTTTATTCCCCAATGTTTTGTGCAGTCTGTCCGCATTCGGATCCAGAACCGCAGCTTCAAGAAATCGGTTACATCACTGCACCGACATCTTAAACCGTTGAGCTCGGGGCAAAACCCCCATTGAACTTCTCCTCTTCATTCTGAAAAAGCGACAAGAGCGAGCGTTGTGCCTTCTTCATCAGTAGCAAGTAATTTCAACAAATTCAACGACGTCATGAGCTTCGTGAACGGGACTAAGCCCGCAGTGGTCTGCGTATTGTAAGTCACCAATATATCATCATATCAATTTATATAGTGTTTCGTCCGCCTCGCCCCGCATTCATACTTATACTTAAAATCCACACCATCACCACCACGCACCACGCACCAACATAATAATCTACGAAACTAACCAACCTAATAACAGCTGCGGCTCCGTCTCCGGCACCAACCCACGCCACATGGAAGCCGCACGCCAACTAGCGCACGAATTCCACAAGAACAACATCCACCTGGTGTACGGCGGCGGCACAGCAGGTCTAATGGGCACGATAGCCCGCGAGCTGGTCAAACTCTCCGGCCCGCAAGCCGTGCACGGTGTGATTCCGCGCGCATTAGTAAAGGTAGAACCGGGGTATGACAATGCAACAGAGCATCCCGCAGGCACAGACTCAAATGCAGGAGTCCAGCAAGCGCGGTCCGGCAAGGACGCGGAGAGAATCATCCCAGCCGCTAGTACTACTACCACTACCAATGGCACTACTGCGAAGACAAAGGAGTCTATGTTTAAGGAATCCGAGTACGGGACGACCACGATCGTGGCGGATATGCATGCGCGAAAGCGGCTTATGGCGACGAAGGTGCAGGAGGGAGGGCCTGGGAGTGGGTTTGTGGCGTTGGCGGGGGGGTTCGGGACGATTGAGGAGGTGATGGAGATGACGACATGGAATCAGTTGGGGATTCATGGGGCTGGGGTGGTGGTGGTTAATGTGGATGGGTATTGGGATGGGGTGTTGGCGTGGGTGAGGAAGGCCGTGCAGGAGGGGTATATTGGGGAGGAGAATGGGGGGATTCTCGTCGAGGTGAATGATGTTAAGGATGTTTGGCCAAGGTTGAAGGGATATAGGGTTAGTAATGGGAGGATGAGGTTGAATTGGGGGGAGGAATAGGTGATATATAAATCCGTAGTTAGTAGCAAGGTTAGTTGTAGATGTGGCTAAGCCGAGTCAGGGTAGTTTATATATAAATGGTATCAGGTGTGGGAAACGTGATATTATTCCGGAATCGTGACTATCAAATCAATGATGTATCTGTTGCATCTTGCTGCTCCTATGAATCAACCTCCATTGTCTCCTCTTCTTTCGTCTCGCCCGCATCCGCCTGCTCCAGTGCCTCCAGCAGGGGCACCAGCTGCTGCCCCTCGTACAGCTTGAAGCTCTCGATCTTCCCCGAGGCACCGTCGCCCGCAAGTCCTACCACACCCACAGATGTGTTGTCCACCGTCAGCTCCTTGTCCTGAGACAGGGATTCCTTAAGTGCCCGCAGGCCGTGCGTGATGAGCTCATCGCGCGACGTGGACTCCAGCTTGTCCAAGTTCCGCTCCAGGTAGGTCCGAGCCATTTGGGAGCGGGCTCCGATGGCGCATGCCACCATCTCGTGGGTCATACCGGAGGGTTGGAATTCGAAGAGGTGCGGGCCGGAGTCGTCGACACCGGCGACAAGCAGACCGACACCGTAGGGGCGCTTGCCGTAATGTTGAGTGTTCGTTTGGGCGCGGTCGCCGATCTGACTGACAATGCGGTCGACGGGGAGCGGGCGGCCGTAGGTCATGCGGGAGCTGAGGGACTGCTGCTTCATGAAGTTGGAGAGCACCCGAGCGTCCGATGCCAGACCGGCGATGGCGATGCCCATGTGGGAGTCGACTTCGATGATCTTCTTCTGGTACGAGGAGAGCTCTTCGGCATTACGCTGGAGATTTTCCTGTCAGCTGGATGTGCCCCAAGAGAAAAGAGCCAGGAGATAAGTGGGATGTCGAACCTTGAGGCCGACCAGCACGGCATGTGTCTTGTTGACGAGTCCCACCACGACGGAACCTTGCTTCACGGCTTCTTGTGCATATTCGACTTGGAAGATCCGGCCTTGCGGAGAGCTGTAAAGAGCTTTGTTAGTAATCTGAAAATACTAGGGAAGACAAAGCTTTGTTCTGGTGGATGAGGGAGCTTGGGGAGGTCCATACAAGGTGACCGCATCGTTGTCGTAGTTGTTTCTGAACATGGCGGAAGTTTGGGTAGAGAGACTCGGAAGGGGGGTGAATAGGGGTCTCTGTCAGTTCAATGGAAGAGACCAGAAAGTATATTGAGTCTCAACGGGGGGATTAGAGGAATCAAGGCGATGAAGTAGGGAGCAGGAGTGGATGGGAGAGAGATATGGAGCTGGAGGGCAGGCAGAGAAGCACTGACGCGGTAGTACTGAGAGTAACTCATGCTTAAGGCTAAGCTCTCACTGCTTGGCTGTCCCGCTGCCTCAGGCCGCCCGCCCCATCATCCACTTCCGCTGCACGTCACTGCCTTCCATCCATTCATTCCATTCCAATCTCCTGCTTCATCCAGGCTCTGGCCGTCCTCGGTTTGTGGTGATCCTCTTGTCGCCATTCCGTCTTAATACCCATGCTATTTTGACTCTGCTATCTTTCCCACAAGCTTTACCAGTCAAGCTTCGTTGGTGCGAAGCTCCTCTCACTTCTGCCTGTTGTCCTGGACCTGAACAGTCCTACTCCGCAATCATGACCGCCGGACTCAAGACGATCATTGCCCTCTCCTTTGTATGTCTTCTTGGGAGCTAGAATGAAGCTTCTTTACTTCTGCTGCTTTGGGACTCCTGCTAATTGTAATCCCGGCATAGGTTCTCGCCATTGGCTTCCTGCTTGTTATCCTGTCATCGGCGCTCTGGCACAACTTCCTCCCACTGGTCGTCGTTGCGACTTACGTGGTTGCTCCCCTGCCCAACTGGATCTGCTCGCGATGCGCAAACCCCGATGACTTTATGGACAGCTCTGGCAATGCTGCTGCTGACTTTGGTCGTTTCCTGACGGGCTTCCTGGTGCTGATGGGTATTGGTGAGTGGATTTCTCGGATAGGCGGGCCAGGTCGGCGGTCGCATTCATCCCTACCATTGAAAGCGACTGCAGACTGTGCTGCGACTGGAGATATATGCCCTTGTTTCTTTTTGACTCTGTCGATCTACGGCTGACCATAATTGCTTCACTAGCCCTCCCCGCCGTTCTTGCGCACAGCGGCGCTATCGAGATCCCCGCCATGGTCATGTCCATCATTGGCGGTCTGTTGATCTACGGAACCATCATCAGTTTCTCCATGTTCTTCAGGGAACAGGAAGACTTTTAAATTGCCATGCGCACCGATATCTGCAAGACCAGATTTCGCATTGGATACCCGCTCGCAGATTGTTGATCGACCTTTTGAAGCAAGCCGCCTTCCATGTTCTTGACCAATGCACCTTTATGAGACATCGTTTTGATTTGACGTATGCTAGGCGTACTGATGTGCTTTTTGATGCCCCGGGAGTCGCTGTTGATTTTACTCTCGTTGTTCAATGATACGATTGATGTACTATAGCCAGTACGAGGTTATATAGAAACTCTGCCAGTGCAGTGTGATACATTCCTTTATCCAGATGCATAAACCCATACCTCCATCTCCTACACTTTATCTTTGGAGATGCCGATGTCTTCCGCTCTGCCGCTCTGTAATTGTGCCTAGATACCGGTCACGTGGGGGCGCGCCGCCTTGGGCGCGTCGTGTAAAATTACCCGCGCCGACTGGTGAGTGAACATCCAACAATGATCTGATAACATCATCACAAGTACGAGTAATATGTGAACGAGTGATCCCTCGTCCTTCTAACATGAATGTATGGTCCGGCACAATATCGCTGGATGGAGGCACACAACTCCAAGGTGAGCCCCGCCAATCACCTGGCTACATTCGCCCTATTCATCACCAAAGCTAGGCCTACAATTAATTGACCGGTCGTCAAACTGGCAATCCGACATTGGCAGAGACTCCACGCTCAGTCTTCGCTGTTTCGTTAACCCGTCCCTCATACCACTCTATGCGCGATGTGGTCCCAACCTCGAACTCCACACAAATAGCCTGCAGACCTCGCAATGGCTGAAGGACAAGCTGACGGGCACTATCTGGTTGGAAGATGATGATTTGGATCGGATCCAGACCCTACAATGCCCAATTGGGCTGCTCGTGGGGATTGACAATGATGGGCGGACAAAGCCCTCTGAAACCAACACGACCGATCTCCTGATACATGGGATGTTGTCCATGACGACTTCCTATGAACGACCGCCCACCCCGCCTGTCTCTTCACCGGAGCTAGACCACCAGCCGTCCCATGTTGTTAGGCAAGAACTGAGAATATACGCCACTCCGATCTCTGCACATCTCATTGCCAAAACTCAGTCTCTCCCATCTCCACAAGATACCGATGGCCACGGCCGATCCCCTCAGTTCCTTCCGGACATTCGCTCGCCCAGCCCCAAGCGCAGACGTGTAGCAACGCTCTTTGAATCAGTGGCGCAGCATCATAAAAGGGTACGGCAGAAGGGAGGTGAGGCTGTATCGCAATTAATGGCGCGATCACTTTCCCAGTCGTCCCAGCAATTGCAAGGTCTTCGGGTCAAACGAGAGTCAGAGGAGCCTTCTCTTCCTCAGTTGGACCGGATCGCCTTACAACGGTCCCGGTCTGTATCTATCGGGGCGAATCTCAACTCCAAACTTCTGGAAGCTCGGTCGGAGCAGTCACGGCCTAGCAGCAGACGGGGCTACGTGCGCGAACTGAACTCACGGCGAGGCACGCCAAACTTCTTTGTGGAGTCATCATTACGAAAGGAAAGAGAACTGTCCCCGGAATTGCCATCTGAAGGGAAACTTGAGTCTCCAGCTGCGCCCAAGGATGCAGAAACCATCATTTCCGAGAACAAAAACACGATAACACGGACGATCCTGACCTGCATGCGGCTTTATGGCTTCAACCGTGCTACAGCGCGCTCCGCGAGCTCGAGCAGGCCGCAAACCGGGACCGGTAGCCACGATATGGCCCCTGCAAATGGGGAGGATATTTCCAACACCGATGAAGATGAATTCAAGGCCATGTACCATGCGACCTATCGCGCATCGACCTTTGCACTGCGGAAGTATCTGAAAGAGCCGTCTCCAGGCGAAGACGGCTCGCCGAATAAGCCACCACTGTTGGAGAAGGGGAGGGCAATGACGTACATCGATGAGTTTTTGAAACTGTTTTGTGAGGAGAATTGAGTCTGTCTGGCACAGATAACGAGTGATGAGTTACGAAGTATATAGCATAGCGATATTATTTGAAGCCAGGAAACTATCAATGTTTACCTAAGGTGTATACCGCCTCGTCGCAGCATGGTATACATGCCACGATCAAAGGAATAATCATACCTACTACCTTATTGAAATTCAATTTTAGCATGTAGGATACAACGAAAAACACTGCATGACAGATTCCTCTTCTCACACTGAGTTGTAGATATCTACTAGATAGCATAGGTCGGGCAGGTGATTTTCCGGCCCCGGCACTGCATCATCGCCGGCTTCCCCGAACAGCTCCAACCAACCCGCCGATCCAGCCATACGGTGATACCATCTTCAGTGCTGGCACACATCCCATCTCCCGGAATCGCATCTCACACATACTAATAATATACCCATATCACAATGGACGTCTCCAACAACCGTCTTTTCCGCTGGTCTAAACCAGAATGGCTTAACAACTCCGCCGTGCGCAACGCAGGCGTCTACACCTCCGGCGCACTGGTAAGCAAGCTCCCATCGTCACCACCACCATCAAACAACACAACCCACTCACATGGCAATAGTTCTCCCTGGGTTTCTTCTTCCTCATCGACGCCGCCGCTTTCTCCCACAGCGCCCGCAACGGCTCCTTCGTGCACGTCAAGTTCGTCGACTGGATTCCCGGTATCTGCTCCGCGCTCGGAATGCTTGTTATCAATTCGATTGAGAAGTCGCGTCTTCATGCCGATAGCTTCAGTTATAGTGGGAGTGGGGTTGCGTGGAAGGCGAGGTTTGTGCTGTTCTTGGGATTTGCGTTGCTCGCGGGTGGTCTGGCAGGCAGTGTGGTTAGTATTTACCTGCATACCTACCCTACCTTGTTGCTCTATTATATGTTGTTTGGGGTATTGGGGTTGCTGGAGTGGAGTGGAGTGGCTAGGCTAACTGATGGGAATATAGACGGTCATGGTACTTAAGTACCTGATCCAGGGATATCCCCTTCCGACACTTTACTTTGGTATTGCGAACGTTATTGCGAATGGACTGGTTATGCTGAGGTGTGTATTCTGCCATATGTCTTTTCTTTGTTCGCAGTGCAGGAACAGATTTGCTAATGAACTCTGCGATTGCAGCACCATCGTCCTATGGATCTCCCAGAATATAGAAGACGACTACACCTACAACCTTGCTCTGTGATGGATGGATACAACATATGAGATGAAATGAGCTATGGTTATCAGGTGTTCAGTCGTGGTACCTGTTCTTCTGTCGACTGATTGATTTATTGGCTGGTATGAGACGAAAGTGATACTTACTACTACTACTCCGCGACGTATTATTGTATTATGAATGTGCGCTTCTTTTGTGGTCGGTCTTTACTATTACTTCTCGTTCCTTGATGGAATCATGGAGTTCAGTTACTCTTTACGAGGGTTGTCGTGTTGTTGTATAAAGCAATGTCCGCATTGTGTGGTCTGCATCTGTTTTTGTTTGGTTATTAGGTAGTTCTTCCTTCTTTTAGCATGCTTGCTATAAATTATGATTATGGATTCCTCTTTGCGGATTGGAGTTTTCCTGTAGTTCATTGAGGGTAGAATGACGTTCCTTTGCGAAATAGGCATCCATATAATCACTGCCGGTGTTGGTTTCATGATGTACAGTACACGCGTTGCCAAGATAAGGTTAACTATGGCTGGTAATCCCAGGTAATAAAATAAACTATCTTATGAAGATGATCTACAGGCATCCATTGTTTATGTTTGTGAAATGAAGTGATATCATGTTCAATGTTTATATATTTCTTGGCATAGGGCGCATGGCATCTCTAAGTAGCGCAGGGTATCTAATTCCAGGCAGCCATGTGGACTGCCAAGGACGGTAAATCGCATCTAGCTGTGCACCATGTTCCATCTGATCTGTTTCGGATCAAGTGGGGTGAGAACCCTCCCATAGCTTTTGAACCGTGAGCCTCAACATGGTGGCGGGTGCCTATCACGGCATGCCATCATTGCGCCAGAATCGTCGCTCAACTTTGTCCAAGTCGACTGCCTAGCCCAGCCACATCATACCGGGGAAGATCATCCCTACGTATACGCGCAATGCACGTATGCCTCGAGGGCTCTGCTCTTGACATCGGCCACGTGCTAGCCAGATGACGACGAAGTAGGCTCGCTAGGCTACAGCATCCTATCAACAGTACATCTCACATATGTCGATTTGACTTTTCTTCAAGCAGAAGCCTCGACCTTGTGAGCACGGAGCTTGTCCATGAGCGCATCGACGGCATCCATGTCTCCGGCGTCGATCTTGTCACGAGAGTAACCCTCGGGGAGACTCTTAGTCACCTCGTCCATGGAGGGCTGGTAGTTGCGGACTGCCGAAGAGATAGCGTAAACGGCCTTCTTGCGAACAACGGGAGTGGTGTCCGTGGTGGCAATGGTGACGAGCTTCGGAAGGGCGTTCAAGACGATAAGCTATTGTGGGGCATGTGTTAGTTTTGTTTAGAATTTCAACAGAAAGGGGACAAATAAGACATCAATAACATACCTTATCCTGCGACTTTTCGTTGTTCTGGACAGCCGTACCAATGCACCACGCCGCCATGCGACGCATGTCCGGTTCCTTGTGGTCAAGCAGCTCGACCAGAGGGGTCCACAGACCCAGAGGCTCCAGGTTGTTTGCGTTGTCGATTGACTCGATGAGCTGTTCGAAGTTGTCGAATGCGATCAACTTGTTCTCCAAGTCGACTTCATCGGAGCGGAGGGCTTCCATGGCGGCTTTCATCAGGTCGGCTTCGGAGGGACCGCCGAATAGCGTCGAGAGCATCTGCGGCGTGAGGCCGCGGGAGGGATCGGCGGGGGCATTGTTGCCAGAGTCGTTCTTATCACCAGAGGCTTGCTCCTCGGTAGCGGCCTTGATACTCCATTTAAGGAGACTGTTCATGTTGGGGTCCATGGTGTTGATGTGGGGATGGTTCGGTGGTGGAGAGTAAAATTTGTGTTGGAGGTGGTGAGGTGTCTAGATGACGGTTGGGGGTTGTTGAAAAAGGACAATAGGCAGAAAGTAAGATTATGTGGACTGTATCAATCACTATGAAATGATCTCTATAGCAAGAATATGGTGGTGGATGTGATTGTGCAAAAAGATGCGCCGGTGTTCTATGAAGGTAAAGAAAAAGCGTGACGTTCTGGACGAATCGAGAGGGTTCATGCGGCTCCGACGGCCTTCCACCTCCTTCCACCGCAACGCTGACACTCAAGTCTGCGAGAGAAGGGAACAACAATTGCAGTCCTCTTTACTTTTACTTGACAGAGCCATATGATGTATCTGCTTGGATTCTCATACTGATAGTATCTTCTCTGTATAGCTGGCTATCTTGATCAAATCAAGACCAGCCAGCGGCGCTGCAGTGTACCCCGCCATGCTCGGATAACCCCGCGATGCGGTCATACATGCCCGATATGCAGTGACTTCTGGCTGCTGTTCACCGACCGAGACATTTCTGCGCGTGGCACGAGGATACCGTTGGATGACCATGCATTCTTCACTGGTCTGCACCGCCAATGAAGATCGGCTTACGAAGAATCAACGCGGCCCTTGTGCGATTGACATTCCATGGGGCGGGCATCAGTTCTGGCTAGGCTTTCTTCTTCGAAGCCCCCATTTTCGGGGGCCCGGTGGGAAAACGGCGGTAAAGAAATCTGACAGCGCATAGGAATTGACCGGAATCGAAGGGCATCAGTCGATCATTTCTACCTGACGTGGAATTAGGGATACTACAGATATGACGGAGTACGGAGAGAACAGCGGACATGGAGACGATCAGGCAATTGCATTATTAAACTAAAGAGGATACAAATTCAGGGATAAGAAACGGCCACGCTAGAGGCTAAGGAGACACGAACGAGGGGCAAAAGAGTACGAACCCCTTAAAAGCCGGACAGACCAAGTGGTTCAGATTTAGTGAATGGGGGGGAAGGATCCAGAAGCCTGAAGTTTGGACCGGTCGGGCTATGGTCATCGCCCATTCTCAGCTCTTGGTTGTTCCCTGGCCCGTCGGCTCCAAGGCGGGCAGTGCTATTATTATCCAGTCGTGGGTAAGCTAACGCTGTAGGCTATCATCATCACTATCATAATCATCATCATCGGGCCATGATTATTATTGTTCCAACCTTGTTCAGTGGTACACATTCGGGCTGAGCCATTGACGGCGGCAACCCTGGGTCGGGTTCAGCCCCACGAGGGTGCGCAAGTGTTTTTGCCATCGTGATTATTATTTCCCTCCTTCTGGTGTTCCCTCCTGCCTGCTCTTTCTCAGCCCTTCGGAAGGGCCACCTCAACGGAATGTCCGGGTGAGAGGAACAGTAAGGGAAGACAAGTTGATTGATTGTAGGAAGGCCACAATCATTCTGCCTAGAGGCAACCATGGTGGGAAGGTTGACATCAGATTGGGTGTATATAAACAATGGTGGAAGAGTACATCCACGGAAATGCATACTTCCATAACCACCATTATCTATCTCTTCCCTCGTTCTCTACATTGTCTTGATATACATACATCGGATCTCTCTATCTCTCTCCGGCCAGATAGTACTTCTCAGCTTTAGCAACAAGTACACGTTCTGGTCCCCCTTTAGCGCCCTGAGTGTATTAAATTACCCGCTTACCTGACGAGCGGTACTCGGCGTGAAAGTGTGGCGGTGACAGCACTGGGACTAAACGGCACTAGTGCTCCCGGCGGTGCAATCAACGTTGCCGAAACACCCGGACTAGACTCGGAAAAGCCTAGAGTGGGACCCACTTCACCCCGCCTGATCCAGTCCAACCTCTCCCTTTTTCGCAGTCATTCCCCCTCCCCCTTAAGTTGGTGTGTATCTGGCGTAAAAAAGGGACCTTCCAGACTGGTTGGAAGAACGTTGACTGGTGTGTATTGCCTCTCCCCTTTCAGGTTTCCTGGTCTTGTCTTCCTCCATCCGTGACTCCGTATTCGTAGAAGTGGTGCCTACTGGAGACTTCATTAATTAAAATTGGACATTTTTTCGCCCCTAATTGACCGATCATATATAGTTACTATCTAAGATACTTGAGCAGCAGCGAAGTTAGTATGTGCTGACTGACTATCGCTTTCACCCCCCCCTCCCCCTACTGAGTACGTACCAACCAGTCAATCTGACCAGAACCAAACCAGACCAGACAAAACCAAACCAAACCAAACCAGACCAAACCCAACCTGAACCAAACCCAACCAGGCCAACCCGCACCCACTCTTGCTTTCCACCACCGCCGACTCCCTACTAACCCGACGGCCTCCATCACTTTCCACTCCTCCCCCCGTTTCCTCCCTCTCCAACCTACTTACCTCAACTCATCCCATCTCTCTCTTGAACTTACTACTTCCCTCTTCTCTTTCCCGTCACTCCTCCCTTCCATCTCCATCTCCATCCCACTCTTCTCTTTCTTCTCTTCGTCTCTTTTTTTATTCCCCGTAGTCCGATTCTTAATCCCACACAGTCACCATGGAAGGTAAGGGCTTCCTGCCACCTTGCGTCTTGCTCGCTTCCCAAGCTTGCTCGCTCCCCCTCCCCCCTCCGTTACCCCCCTCAACGCCCACCTTTACAACTTGGCTAACATCTATTTTTTTCACCATCTAGAGGAAGTTGCTGCTCTCGTCATTGACAATGGGTATGTTACTCTGGGTTTTCGATGATTCTGGCGATGGATTCGTCCTGCTTGTTGTGGTTTCTCGCCAAGTCCAGGGGAGATGGTGCAAAACATATGTCCCCTTTTGGGGCTTGGTCGCGAAGATGAACTTGACTGGGATTCTCGCTGGCATTACTTGCCCACTCCCTTTGGCGCTTATGGCAAGAAACTGGGACAGCTCGATCGACTGGCCCGCGAGGCTGTGGTTTGCTCGATTATACTGACTTCTGTGTTCTCAGTTCGGGTATGTGCAAGGCCGGTTTCGCCGGTGACGATGCTCCCCGTGCCGTCTTCCGTAAGTCAACCCCCTCCTTGTCCACTGTGCTGGACGTTCTACCTACTGGCTTGATGGATTCTTCCCGCTCTTTCATGGCAATTGCCACCCATTGCGTCTTCGCGCCGGGCTGCTAGCTCATGTGGGGGCGGTGAATTACCCGCCATGTCAGCACCAGTTCGAATAGTGAACTAACTTGCGGTACAGCCTCCATTGTCGGTCGTCCCCGTCACCATGGGTAAAGCTCCCCTTTGTTCTCTCCTAATTGGCCTGCCAGGCTGGTTGATCAGTTTTGTCTAATGCCGCCCACAGTATCATGATTGGTATGGGTCAGAAGGACTCCTACGTCGGTGATGAGGCACAGTCCAAGCGTGGTATCCTTACCCTCAGATACCCCATTGAGCACGGTGTCGTCACGAACTGGGATGACATGGAGAAGATCTGGCACCACACCTTCTACAATGAACTCCGTGTCGCTCCTGAGGAGCACCCCGTTCTCTTGACCGAAGCCCCCATCAACCCCAAGTCCAACCGTGAGAAGATGACCCAGATCG